TCTTCAAGGGGGCAGCAAGGGTAAAAGCAAACGAGCTGCCTGTTGAGCTCGGGGGAGGGTGGGGGAGCTTGGATCCTGTGTGTGTGTGTGCAGGAGCTTGGATCCTCTGTGTGTGTGTGTGTGCGCGCGCGCGTGCGTGCGTGCGTGTGCGCGCAGTGGGAGGGGTGGGGGGCCGTCTTCAAGGGGGCAGCAAGGGTAAAAGCAAATGAGCTGCCTGTTGAGCTCAGGGTGGGAGTGCAGGAGCTTGGATGCTATGTGTGCGTGCGTGCGCGTGGTGGGAGGGGTGGGGGGCCGTCTTCAAGGGGGCAGCAAGGGTAAAAGCAAACGAGCTGCCTGTTGAGCTCAGGGTGGGAGTGCAGGAGCTTGGATCCTGTGTGTGCGTGCGTGCGCGCGCGCGCGCGGTGGGAGGGGTGGGGGGGCCATCTTCAAGGGGGCAGCAAGGGTAAAAGCAAACGAGCTGCCTGTTGAGCTCAGGGTGGGAGTGCAGGAGCTTGGATCCTGTGTGTGCGTGCGTGCGCGCGCGCGCGCGGTGGGAGGGGTGGGGGGGCCATCTTCAAGGGGGCAGCAAGGGTAAAAGCAAACGAGCTGCCTGTTGAGCTCAGGGTGGGAGTGCAGGAGCTTGGATCCTGTGTGTGCGTGCGTGCGCGCGCGCGCGCGGTGGGAGGGGTGGGGGGGCCATCTTCAAGGGGGCAGCAAGGGTAAAAGCAAACGAGCTGCCTGTTGAGCTCAGGGTGGGAGTGCAGGAGCTTGGATCCTGTGTGTGCGTGCGTGCGCGCGCGCGCGCGGTGGGAGGGGTGGGGGGGCCATCTTCAAGGGGGCAGCAAGGGTAAAAGCAAACGAGCTGCCTGTTGAGCTCAGGGTGGGAGTGCAGGAGCTTGGATCCTGTGTGTGCGTGCGTGCGCGCGCGCGCGCGGTGGGAGGGGTGGGGGGGCCATCTTCAAGGGGGCAGCAAGGGTAAAAGCAAACGAGCTGCCTGTTGAGCTCAGGGTGGGAGTGCAGGAGCTTGGATCCTGTGTGTGCGTGCGTGCGCGCGCGCGCGCGGTGGGAGGGGTGGGGGGGCCATCTTCAAGGGGGCAGCAAGGGTAAAAGCAAACGAGCTGCCTGTTGAGCTCGGGGGAGGGTGGGGGTGCAGCAGACCAGGGAGGGCAACGGAAAGGGGGAGACATCAAGATTCTTGCCACAGAGCTGAGGCAGCACGCGTCTTGTGCTGCTCAACCCGAAGCGGAATCACTATGTTGGTATCTCCACACGGTGAAGCAGGGCACCAGGAAGCCAGAGCCCCCTGTGCCAGTCCATTACTGCACTGGCTGGAGTGGCAAGGTAATGTACAGCCACACACACAACGTCTGCTGTGTGCCAGCAGGACAACTGAGAGAGACATTGTGCCAGGCTAGGAAATAAAGGCTGGGAGGGGAAACATGGATCAGAGGTGGTTTTTCTGGCTAACCATATACTGCTGCTTGCTTTTAGCTATGCATGATTTGCACTGCCTAAAGGAGCTAGAAAGGCCACCTCGCTCTTTGTCTCTGCCAAGAAGAGCTACAAAATGCATGAGTGTCTGAGGAGAAAACATGCAGGAGCCTGAATCACTGCCTCCTGCCCAAGAAAGTGCTTGTGTCTCTGTGTGTCACAGGAGAATGGAAGACATGTCACCACCACCACCATTAAGAAAGTCTGGCATGTTCTAGACCTGGACTGTTAAGAGAGGGGGGAACTCAGACAAACAAGAAGCCTGCAAAATAAAGTCTACAGCATGTAGTAAATCTGCCTAGGAGATATCAGGATTGGGACTCTTCAGAGAGATGCCTAGGAAGGAGTGAGGGGACATTAAGCACATAAGAGCAGAAGAGATGCTCCAAAGGCAGGGCTCAGGGGGCAGAAAAGAAGCAAGAGGGATCTAAGGATTCTTAGGAAATACAGCTGACTTTGCTCTTGGTTTTTTTCAAAATTGGGTTTTTCTGCCAATGATTCAGACACCTTTGCAATACTGATTCTAGGATTCTAGAAGTGATTTCAATAAAATACCAGTTCTCCCCAGGATTCTCAGCATGTTTCTAATTATAACCTTTGAAAAATAAAACGCACTAAACGTGTTTCTTCTTCTAAAGGAAAACCACTGGAACTCAAGCCAGACAAGCATGGCAGAGAGAGATGGTGGCAGCCACCCTTGTGTAGGTATCTCAGTCCACTGCTGTTCAAAAAACTGAAAAAAGGCCATTGGTCCTGATGCACAATTTCTAGGAATGTCTACATGGGTTAGCTATTCTGTATTGGTAAGTCTCTGTTGTGCTCAAGTTTTAACTGTTTGGTATTGCTGCGTGGGATTTGTTTCCTGTCCATGTTAACACAGAAGATAACTAACTTCTCTTCTTTCCTCTACCTTCTCAAATGCTGATGCTGGGAATCTGGGTTTCCAAGGGTACACATCAGGACTACCATAGGAATTCCATAGGGGGTGAAAGAAAGGCAGACTGACCCCCCAAAACAGAAAAGAAAGCTTTAGTGCTACCAATCAGCCGGTCCTCAGTGATGATGCCCATGGTCAGATTTCCCCAGGAATTCCCTGAAAAAGAAAACAAGATGCCAGCAGTGATAAACAATCCCAAATACAAATCTCCCAACCATTTCCACAGAGAAAGCAGGACACAGGGCAACAGCCCTACCACATGAAATCTCAGATCTAACTCTGCTGGGTTGCAGTGTCCAGCTGGAACTGCAGTGTCCCTAGTGATCCCAGTCACACTAGGGATCTTAGGGTACATGCAGTCCAACTACAAGGCTATGAAGGGTCAGATGTCTGCAGTCTCAGGGAACACAGTGGGTCACACACCCTGGTGCGACCAGTGTCCAAGTTCAAGTAGTAGTACCTGCTGGTAGCACAATTACACTGGTAGGAAATGATAGCAGTATAAGCTGTTATAGTAACTACCATACCCACTCAAATATAAGACAAGGTGTCCCTCCATCAACATGGGGGAAAAAAGCCCTTCAACTTTACATATACATACAAGGAAACCTCTTTAAATATCTCATCTATCATTAAACTGATGCTAAAAGCAGCATGTGCTCAGTAATGAAAAACAATTGTGAAGTTGATTATAGATTCACAGATTGTAAGGGGCTGGAAGGGACCTCACAAGATCATGGGGTCCAGCTCCCTTGCACTAGGCAGGAAAGACAACTGGGGGTCAGGTGGCCCCAGCAAGGTGACTGTTCAGTCTCCTCTTGAAGATTTCCAGGGTAGGTCATTGCACCACCTCTGGAGGGAGTTTGTTAAATTAAATGTAACCAACAATTGGGCAAACATGCTGATAGGAACCTTTATTTTTTCTGTGTGCGTGGCCCTTAAAAAAAGTGGGCAGGTGTTCCCTCCACAGGCAACTGGCACCAGGTCTGTAGGTACAGCAATACCAGGCTGGCACCAAGAGAGCCAGGGCCAGCCCCAACACCCTCCCCTTGGTGCCAAAAATGCTACATTTAATTTTGGCCAAAAAGACCAAAATGCTGATGGGAGCCTACCACAAGGATAAGTCAGTGCAAATCATCTGAAGAAAATATACGGCAGTGCCCATTACATACAGTCTCCCTCAATGCTGATTCTTTTTCAAGTCATGGTCAGCCACTGTACTGCATACATTTTGCTTTCCTTTTCACTCCTACATCTCCCCCTCCCATTCCCAGGTTGTCTGCAGCCATGTTATAGCCAGCTGTTTCCTGTACAGGAGGCTGAAGGAAGGGAAGGCATCCTTCTTTGTCTGGGAAAGGTCCCCACCTGTGTGGGAAAGCACAGATTAAAGCCTTGATCCCCAGTGCAGGCGGCTGGATCAAGGGGATTTGAACCTGGGTGTCTAGATTAATCCAAACAGATGAGTCAACTGGGTGCTGGCCGTCTCATTAACATCACTAGGCATGACAGGAGCACAGAGGCTGTGAAACTGAGGGGCTTATTTACATCAGCCAGTAGGCAAGTGTGCAGAACACAATGCAGTGCTGTGCAAGGATGCCAAGTGAGCCTGGGAACTAGAAGCAGATTCTGGAAAAAGTGCTTCTCCACCTATGCAAAATCAGCCCGGCTGCGAAGCAGGGTGTATTATCCTTGGGCAGAGCACTGCTATAACACAGAACACTGCTGTAACTGTAGTGTGCTGTGCAGACAAACGCTGAATGGAGGCTCAAAGATCAACACCAAAGTAGGTGCAAGTTTGGAAATACTGACTTAAGCTCTCTTGAGGCCTGTGAGCAAGGCTAGGCCAATGGGCTGTGCACTAGGGTGGGGATGTGGAACCCTCATTCTAAAAATCGGGCTCACATCACAGCTCCTGTTGAAGGTCAGTAGCAGGTCACCAGACTGCTTGGACTCAATTTTACCAACATGCTTAAGGAGGATTAGGGCAACACAAAAACAGATGCTATAAGCACACACAGCGCTCAGCTCAGCTAGAGCTGTTCTCAACACATCTGTGTCTATGTTTTGGGGAGAGGGCTGTGGTTCTGACGGATTGTTCTAAATCACTTTGTGATTGCTGAGTGCCAATTCAGTCCTTGTATTATTGGTAATACTTCTACCACTTAGTGGGTGCATCTACACACTCTACTAATGCAATATAGGCTTACTATGCAGTAAAATACTACACATGCACCCTGTTGGAAGCAAATCTGCTCCCTACTGGAGCAGCCTGGTACAGGGCTGCTCCTGCCCTGCTCTGGCCCTGTACAGCAGCCAGGGGGAGCTCCAGGCTCTCCTGGGGTGCTAGCCGGGGTGGCTGGCAGAGGGCATAGGGACCAGTCCTAATGCACATGGGACCAGGAGAGCTCTGCTGGCTGCAGCAGTAGCTGTCTCTTGGTGCACATCACAAGGGGCCCTGACATACGCATCCCTATGCACATTGGGACACACAGCTGCTGGTGAGATGCATGCCTACTGAGGCTTCCCTGCCCAGCCAGGGGGCTTGCTGGCAGCAGCCCCAGAAATGGGAAAGGTCCCAGCCAGCCCCTGCTGTGCAGGGAACTCCCATCCAGCAGGTAGCTAACTGGCAGCTGCCCCACAAACAGGAAAGCTGCTGGTGTGCCCCTGGCTGACCAGGGAAGCAGAGAGCTGCCTAGTCCTGGCACTGCTCGGCTCCCAGCTCCTGTAGGAAGCTGGAAGCCACATGGAGCGAGGGGGAGAGGGGGAAGAAAGCGACCCTGTCCTGGCGCTGATCAGCTCCCAGCTCCTGTGGGGAGCCAGGAGCTGAGCAGTGCTAGGACCAGGGACAGAGAACTTCCTGTGGCCCCCTGCTAGTGTGACTGACCAGGAGCAAATTTGCTCCCAGTCAGCATCTACATGAGAGCTACTGCACAGTAACTAGCATGCAGTTAATCTAGTACCTGTATTTACTAGCTAACTGCAATAGATTAATTTACTGTGCAGTAAATGTCATGCATGTGTAGATGGTAATGCTTTACTATGCAGTAGATTAGTCTACTGTGCAGTAAAGCATCTTGTATAGACACATGCAGTGTTTTGATTCAGGTACAATCAGCAGATGGGGGAAGAGAAGCAGCAGCAAAACTAACCACATGTTCCAATGGTTTTTTCTAGAGAAATGAAAATTTCTGCAACCCATTTTTTATGGCTGTACCACACATACAGCAGCCTCCATCTAAAAAGGATAACATATTGGAAACCCTGATGCAGTAACAAAGCCAGACAGAGTGCCCCGGTTTATTACCGCAGTATTCGAGGTAGCTCTGGACTCCTGTAGATGTACTTGTGCCGGTAGCCTAGGTCTGTGTGGAAAGGAACGAACTGCACTTTGTAGTCCCGGAAGCTCCGTGATGTTGCAGCCAAGTTGTAAAGCTACAGAGAGTTATAAGCATCAAACAGGTAAAGGATTCACCACCACATTCATAGAAGATGCACTATAACATTAGTTGCCTGAAAGCAGAGCTGCTTATCGCTGCAATCAGCTTCACTCCAGCAGATTCTACATTTATTTGGTCTACATGACAATCTATATTAGTGGAGGAAAAGTGTTACTGCAGCTTCCCATTGAGGGGTGGGGGATGAGAGAGAAGGTTCACAAGGGATGCAGCTGTAGACTTTATGGTCTCTTGCTACCTCCTCCCTCTTTGTGCCACTGAGAGCCTCCCTTTTGCTCACTCCTCTGGATTCTCTCCCTTCATGTTGCAGTAGATGCTGCAATAACGTTTTCCCTCTATCAAAAAATCCACTTGGAAGGACCATTTCTACACTCAGCAGATCAGAGCTCAGCTTCTGGAGGTAAGCCATTATGTAAGAGCTTCCAAAAGATCAGCAGAAAGCCCTGAATGATGTGAGCAGGGAGATCTCCCAGCAAAAAATCCTATTAACTAATAAGCATTACAATGGACATGCACAGACAGCAAAAACTTAAACCACTGGGACAATGGGATTAACTATAACCACAAATCAAGTTCCATCTCTAATGAATAGACCGATATCTTGACAAAGAGCTGTTGCCATTACATTTGTATTTCTATAAATTCTGCCTGGCCTGGTTTGGCTAACAAATTTCACAGGGGCATCTGAACACTTAGTTGCTCAGGAAACTAAGGTGCTCTGTCCATCTGTATTCCTTCTTGCCCTCGTTCCCCCTCCTGCTTAAGTATAACAATACTATTTTCCCCTTATTTTTTCCCATTATTTTTGAAGCGTAATAAACTCTTCTTCACTTTTTCTTAGCCAGCACCACAGCTTAGAAGATTTTCAATACACCGATACGATTATATTATTAAATGACATCTAATACCTCCAGTGCTACTAACTGTTATGCGCTTCTGCCATTATTAAAACAGAAACATAGTTAGCCATGCTAGTCTAAAGTACAGCAGAAGGCAGAGTAGATTTGCACCTTATAGATTAACTAGTGTGTGCGTCTGTGTGCATGTACGCACACACTTTCACAGGCTGAAGATATGTACACATTGGTGCGTATATATATTTATATACACACACACACACACACACACACACACACACACACACACAGAGTGTGTATATTCAGTATCTACTTTGATTAGTCTATAAGGTGCATTATTAAAACAACCTGCTCTTCATATCAAATTGCTGTCTTTTCTGCACAGAGCTGTATGATCCATTTAGGTCACTGTTTAAGCCAAAAAATCCCTTCCATCAAGCAGCCAACTTAAAGCAGGTCAGTTTCAACAGGAGAAATCTACCTTCTTTCCGAGATGAAATGGTACAACGGGGTCATCTTCAGCATGGAGGATGAGCAGTGAACAGGAAATGTATTTTACACTGTGAAAAGAATTAAAAGACAATGTAATTCCTTTTAATCCTAGTGAAGTTTATAAACTGTTAACAGAGCTAAGAGTTCTGGTTGTATTTTTGATAAAACAGCCAATGCTATCTGAATGCTGGTCATGCCTGTCTATTTTATCTCTCTGAAGAGGAGCTGTTCTCTGTTGTAGCTTCTTAAACTGAGAAATAATCAAGAGGCTGCTATCCTGGCCCTTCAGAAACAATCTTGGCTCCATTGAATGAAGCCCCAATCACTGCGAGTCTGTCTGTTGGCTTTGCTAAATACACATATGCACCTTCTAAGTGAAAATGGAGCCGGAGTGTTTGTCAGTCACTTTTGCTTCATAGGTCCTCTCTCTCAAGCCCACTTAAAAGGCATCTCATCATGGATGAGAGTCACTTATTCATGACTTATTCATTATATCAGACAAAAATCAAGAAAGGAAATGGAGTGCAATAAATTATTAGAGTTTAAAAATAGGATGTGGAATAATAGTACTGTAAATAATGCGCCTGTCATATATTAACTGGACAAAGCTCTGTTCTACTATATGCTAATTTAAAAAGCATTTCTAGGGAAGCAACTGATGCTTGTGAGATGTATGGCCAAGTTTTATAATTATATTATATGGGATTTTCAGGGATATACTCACTAGAAACAATTCCCACCACTTATTAACTGCATTTCAGACTGTGATAATGCCAGTTAATGTGATCTATACACAAAAATAATTGGTTAATGTACCCATTGGAGAATCTTTTTTGCTGATTACGCTGGTGAGCAGGGGAGCTTATTACCCAAAGTGACATTGAAATAGGGCATGCTTTTGGTTAAGAGAATGAGCATACAGGAAATGTTCTTATTACAGACAGAGAAGGAACAGCTTAGTGAGTCAGGCAAAGCACAAGGATTCATGAGCCCAGGATTCTATCCAGGGACCTGCCACAGATTTCTTACATGACCTTGAGCCAGACATTTAACTTCTTTGTGTCAGTCTCACTGAAGTGGGGGAAGCTTACTTCACCAATGCCTGCAAAGTGTTCTGCAATCCATGAATGGAAGGCTTAGAGGTGTGAAAAATTATTAACTACAGTATGAATTATGTTAATAATTGTGTCAGTAAGTCTTCCCAGCTGTTTAACACCTTAAAGGATAGAGATATTAGTCTGAGTCAGGCACAATGCAAAGCAGGGTGGCAGCTTATAGGGCATCTATACATGTGATAAACCTCTGCTCTGACACGTGCTAGTTAGATTAATTGAGTCTGCTGGAGTGTGCTAATTAGCGTGCTCCAGCAGCCTCTGCATCATGTATACTCAGTAACCCCACATTTCAAATTGGCTGTGGGGGCGCTTTAACTAAAGCTCGTTTCATTTCAAAATAGCTTTAGTTAAAGCGCCCCCACTACTATTTTGAAAAGCGGGACACTGAACATGTGACGCTGCGAGTGCTTTAATTAAACTACCCCCCTGCATCCTGGAGCATGTTTATAGATGCCCTTAGAAACTAACTTGTTCAGAAAACTTTCATAGGCTACAGCCTACTTCATCTATTAAATGAATAAGGCTATGTAAACCATAATGTTACACTAGATACACCTGTTTAGTTTCTCACACACCTATGCTTCGAATGTCTTTAACTAGCTGGTCAGATGAGTTATTTCCTGTTCAGATAAGGACCTGTAGGTCAACACCCACCTAAGATTTTAAAACATGGAACTAAGAGAAATTATATCACCTGTCATGTGTTGGGATTTCCTGAGAGCTACCGAGCCAAATTTTTGGAAACTACGGCACACTCAAGGCCAAGCAAGACTGTGCAAAGCCCCTTCACAAGTATCAAATATTTCAGCAAAAAACAGGACCAACTGCACTTCTGTGTACATTCCCACTTGATGCCAGCTTTATTCAGTTTCCTTTATGAACATGTCATCAAAAGACCTCCCAGCTCCAATCACTGCAGGTAGAAAAACGAAGATTCAGCAGAGATTCATTACTTACTTCTCATCATTTGCAAATTTAATTCCGCTCATCGTGATGGTGTCAAGGAAGAACCAGTCAAACCCAGGGAAGTATCTGTATATCTGAAGAAAATAAAGTCTCCCTTAATGACCTCTTGAGATCCCTTCCAGCCCTACTTAACTCTGTGGTAATAGATATGTCCACTTATTAGCAAGACAAGGGATGTTCCCACCTGGAATACAGATAGATTGAATGCTACAGAAAGAACACACTGGTTCCACAGATATCCCAACTGTTTCCACTGTCCATCTGATTTTTCATGTCCTGTTCCTCTGTAGTAGACAAACTGTGCTGCTGTGTTAGTGCACTGGTTCTCTGAATGCTTTCATTGTTCATTCTCCAACTTAAGTGACAGCACTGCTGCTTGAGTTTTCTTGGATATCAACAAGCTTCTGGCTCACATGTATGCTTGGTTGAAACCTCGGTCATGAAAGGCGTCTACACAGCACAATGCAGTACAGTGCAAAGATACCCAAGGTGGCTGAGAGGACTAGTGAGGGCACCAAAAGCAGTACAGTAGCATTAGTGTGGTGTTATGCCTGGCCCAATTTACACAGCCCTGCTGAGAAGCAGGGTAAGTCCAGAACTAGCTCAAGTGTCAGCATGTGCCAGCTGTCGTGAGCAGAGCCTCTCTGGGGCTGAGCCACCTGACTTGGCCTGCAGGTTTGCTGGTTTCAAAAAAAGTGTCAGGCATCTCTGCTGGGTCAAACTGAATGTGTCAGAGAAACTTCATCATCCTCACCCCTAGGGAGACAGAATCCAGGTGGCAAGGACTAGGCTGTGATCCTAAGGCAGTTCATTCATCTGTCATATCTCTGCTAGGGAAGCAGTCATTTACCTAATCACATCCTGGTACAGCTCCCATCACTTTCAGCTCCTACACAATACACCTGCTGTCTGTGATATAGCAGGCTAGGAAACAACCCTGTTTTCGAAGGACAGACAGAGAGGTGCCCCAGCTGCATCGTCAGTCTCTTGAACCTCCTCTGACTGGGACATGTTCTCTCAACTTCCTCACTAAGCAGGTCAGCTGTGCATGTCTTATGTAAGCAGAGAATCATGCCATGGTAGTGGTAAGGCCTAACACACTCCCTGCTGAAAGAACCAACTCAGCCCTTCTTTCTTTGTGCTTACTGCTTTTCCTCCCTGGTTTTTCTTTTCCATTATTATCATCTCAGTGTGGTTTTACTTATAACTGTACTGTACAGTAAGGTATATTAGCCCCATGCAGGCCTCTGCAGATGTGCACCTCGCACCTTTGATGTACACACAGCCCTTTGCAGAGGAAAGCATTAGTGCTGATCATTATAACGAATAACAGCTCCAGAAACTCTGACACTGTTTGCAAGGTTTACAGATTTAACTCAGGCATGTCCTAGAACTGTTCAGGAAGAATTTCTAAATGATTATTTTCATGAATAAAATTAGAAGATAATAAAGACAGATAGCTGTACTTGCCACTGAAAATGGATGGCTTTTTGCTTCCTCACGTATGTTAGTAAATGGCGATTCCAGGATAAGGGCATCTGGAGGAGTTTCTGAAAACATAATCACAGTGCACAGTGTATTCAGGCACTACAGTCAGTTGGGTAAGAACAATGCAGAGCTACATGTTGCCAATCTTTATATACCAAAGAAGCTGCAAGGAAGGATCAAATCCTCAAAGTGAGACAGTATTCCCATTACTAAATGACTGACATCCGTTATCTAGGGCTGACAAGGTATCTAAAAATAATTACATGTGCCTCAGAACCACCTTCCAACCACTAAACCTGTCTTGTGGCTAGGAAAAGTCTGCAATGTAAATGGCTGTATCAAGGTCATGGCCAAATTCAATAGATCATTTTCAAGCAAGTATGTTAAAAATGGGACAGCCCTACAGTTAACACTTCAAGGGACAGGTAAGGTGGGGGAAGGCAGAGCTTAAATTAATGTAATCCCTGTGAAAACTGCCAGACTTAGAACTAAAATCCTTCCTCTATCCCTATGCCAGGGCAAGTTTTAACTACAGAAGGAACCAAACAAGAAGCAGTTCCCTTCCTCCCTGTCCAACACTTCCCTCAAAACTATGCCCACTGCCACTCTATCACCCATATCATTCAAATTCCTGATAGGTTTTGTTAAGGGTAGGAGCTATGGGGATAGAGGAGGTTCCTGATCCTGAGGCATGACCTAAAACTGAAACCTGCTGGGGCTGGATGGTGTGGTGGGGCTGCCTGTGGCTGGGCAGTCTCCAGGAAATGCCACACCTGTGCCCCTCCAGTGAAGGGCGAGTATGGGGCACCAGAAAGCCTCAGCCCCTGCTGCCTGGAAGGTGACCCTGTGGAGGGGAAAAACTAGGGGAGCACACCCTGATGGAAAAGCACAGAGGCCAGGCCCATTGAGTGGGGCCTGAGGCAGGACCCAGGCACACTGACAGACACCTGAGGCCTGAGTAGGCCATAGGCTGAGTTGGGGGCCCAGACTTGACAGACTCCTGAGGCCCAAAGGGGAGTAAGGTCCCACAGCTCCAGTGACGGGGGTGGAGTAATGGCCATGGAGGGTAGGGCCTTAGGGGGCCTGAAGCACTGCACATGGACCAACTGGAAGGGAGGTTCAGAACCGTGTATAACACCCTAGGCATCAAGGCACAAAATGGGCAGCCTCCCACAATATTCCATCTTCTTTGGTACATCAAGGTATGGCAGATGAGGCAAGGCAGACTGCCCTAGACAGGTGGGCAGGCCAATGATGAGACCCGGCCCGGATAAGGCCCCCTGTCACACCATGCTCCAGTCAAACTAAGAGAATGCTGAACAAGAGCACATGACAACACTGCTGCTACAAGGAAGTCAGGGCAAGCTGAGCCTTCATCACTACAAGGTGACCGAGAAGACGTTAGTGCCACACTGAGTGCTCCTTTTTTCACTAGCCTTACCTCGTTCACAAAGGCGTCTCACTAAGTTCGTTGCAACCCTAGAAAGAAAGAAAAGAGTAGTTTAGCATTAAACCAAACATTTTTATCATTCATTGCTAGAAAATAGTAGTGCTTGTTGCCTGCCACTCCCAAAGGAAAGGCATCATGTGTTGCTGCTTGAAAGACCCATTTCTGAAACAGATCTCAGGGCTTCTATGTTTCTAGTCAGTGCTGGAAGCAAAGGACACCAGTGGTGACGGTAACACAGGTGACTGCTGGTTTGCAGCTTGTAGAGAAATGGGTCTTACCCAGTCTTTGAAGCAAGCTTGAAGGACATCTCAAAAATGCTTTCTTCTTTCTAATTTCATCACCTCTGTTTTTATCAGAATGCAAATTAAAGGAGCAGCTATTTGTTCAAGCTGGATTTCCTTTGGACACACAAGACATCCAAAAGACTGGAGACACTTGAGACGCTGGATTTTAGTTTTGTTCAGATATACTAGTAATTTCCTTCGCTCCCTAGTTTCACATGCTCCACACACACTCCCAACACGGACTCCCCATTCCAATTTCCATTTTCTTTTCAGCCCACTCTTCCCTAAGGCCTGCTTCAATACTCCATGCTTACATGTTCTCCCTGCCTTGAGGTCACCAATGATTCTGCAAGAGCCCCTTTTGCCAGTGAATTCAAGTAACCCTCCCTCTGGGATATACAGCCACAGAGTATATACCTTTCTGCTCCACAGGGAAGATCATGAGGATGCTCTGCCCCAGAGCCATCTAAAAGGCAGCCCATGAGCCACGTGAGGCTTGCGAATGGTTAAATTGCGGCCTGCAACACTTATCAGCATAGCTACTGGAGCCGCTGTGTTGGCACAACTCTGGAACCCACACTACTACAGATTTGTGCCAGTAAGTTGAGGACACCAGTCATTTGTAAAGAAAGCCCTGTATTTATTGATTAAAAGGGGGATGTTTGCAAAACTAGAAGAGGTAAACAGATGCAATGTGATGAAACAACTGCATTCTCCTGCTTGGGTAGGGTTCTGGCAGCATTTTGAAGGGGAAAAAAAACATTTAAAACTAGACACTTGTGCGCTTTCATAAATCTAAAGATTCCAGCATTTCCCTTGTGGGCTTTGCCTATCAATATATTTCACATTAGGATACTTGATAGCTAGTCTTAACAGATTTGGGAATGAAAATCTTGACAGTAGTCCCATTTCTAATATTCAACATTTCTCTGGTGTAATCCCTTCACTCCATGCTGGGATGAGCTCTATAATGGCATAAAAAAAAAGTCAGCTCTCAACAGAAATTTCCTCAGTTCTAAAGTGGGCAAGTTAAATTTCCAAGCAGCTTAATATGAAAAAATAGCTTGACATTTCATTGGCAGAAAGATGAATATAAAATAGTTAAAAAATACATTAAGTTTTGTTGTTGCTTACACCTTTTAAAGAATAATTTTTCATACTGCCTTTCTACAAGTTAAAAACTACCATTTTAATAACTTAATTACTCCAATATTTTTCTGGAAATCATGTATACATTTGAGAATTAAGATCTGACTGAACAAGATTTTATTCTTTCAGACAGAGATCAAGCTCAGTCAGTGTATATAAACACAAACAGGGGCAAATTCATCACTGGTGAGAAGAGGTGCAGCACAATGGTTGTCCCTGGAGTCATGCTGTTTACAGTAGCAATCATTTCACCTCATAATCTGCTTGCTATTTCTCTTTGGTGACCTGGAGTCATGCTGATTTTACCACCTTTTGATTCCCAGGGCAACCATATTGGAAATTAGGACTCCAAGGTCTATCCCTTCATAACCATTCATCATCCTAGTTCCTATGCTGAAGAGCAAAGAAACTGTCTTGCAGCAATTACACTGACAGATTCAGTGCAATGGCAAAAAAAGAAAGGATTGTAGCAAACATCTTGTTAGTCTAAGTCAATATTTATCTACTCTTAGTGTTCTAAAGAGGTGATAAGCATCTTACCCAGTGCCTAAGGAATGCCCCCATATATAGAGAGGATTGTCTCCACTTCTTGCCTTTATCCAGTCAAACACATGGAGGGCATCATAGGTCATCCCTCTCTCGGAAGGAGTGCCTACTGAATCTCCCCACCCTGGAACACAAAAATATTTTACTCTAGGATTGCATGTAAACCATCCAGAAAAAATAAGCCATTGCTTACATCTTCAGAAATGAGCTGCCTCCCTACAGCTGCAAAGCCTTTTGAAGCATGAGAAAATACCTGCCCGCCGCATTGTACCTATGCATCAAACTAAGGCTGGAAAAGAACAAACAGCCTGACATGGTACAGGGTCTCAGTTTATGATCCTTGAATTGTCTCCAATCAGTTGAAAGCCCCGACTGAGCTCTCACTGTTAAAACTCAGTAGCTGCCTGTTGCCAAGCAGATTCTGTGGGCTTAGCGGACAGTGGAAGCAAAAGCTGGCACCTGCCATGGAAGCCACTGAGGCCAAACTCATGCCTGGAGAAGTACAGCTTCCAGACCGAAAGACTTCTACTCGCATATTATTCAATTTGTAAGTTGTAACAGCTTAAAAAGCATCAGAGAACTGGGCATGGAGTAGCAAAACAAGCACCTTCCTTAAAGCTGTCACCCTGCCAACTGTCGATCAATGCCTCATGCACTTCTCCAGCCTCCCTGCAATTTCCCCTGATCAGTGTATATACGATCCCTTCTCCTGCTCCCTGTGTGACAGCATACTCTGCATTGTTTCTGATAACTGAGAAGCAAGCAAAGCAGCAGACAGCAGTCACCAAGCACTCTTATGGCATGCAAAAACCTCCTACAGAGGAACTCAGTGTTGCCCCCTGACAGCAGCAGATGCCTTGGTGACATGGGTCTGCCAGCTCTTTCCTTTTCCCTACACTGCACCCAGTTCCTGTGCTATGATGGCATTCTCAGAACCATCCTTTTAACAGGGCTTGCACTAACAAAACCAGAGGAGGAACCACACTCCTGCCTCTTGCAGCATGCATATTCTTGCTGACTTCTATCCCCCCTAGAGAAGGGGCAGAGGGTACAGACTACCTTCCTGCTTTCTCTGGTGACAACCTGAGAGCACAAGGGCATAACTAGGAGCAACAGAAGGAAATCCAGAGAACAAGCCCCCCAGCAAAAAAGTAAGTCCTGATGGGTCCATGGTAAGAAACAGGAGAAAAAAATCCTTGCTTTCCAAAAACAATTTGAAAATCTCTTAAGGTCCAAAAATGGAACACTTCCCCCTCCACTGAAGGAGGTCTTTATACTCCCTATAAAGGATGAAGACATTCTAGAACTGTGTTTGATCCACTCTGGGCATGTCTACACATGCAATTAATGCACCTGAATTTTCTGTGCAGAAAATTCAGTTTCATTAAAGCACTCCCGGGCACACATCTGAACGTGTGCCTATCAGAAGCAAATTTGCTCCTGACGGGAGTTCAGTCCAGGGCTGCTCCTGCCCTGCTCTGCCTCCCTGCAGCAGCCAGGGGGAGTTCCAGGCTACCTTGAGTGCCAGCCCCAGACTGGCAGGAGGCACTGGGGCTGATTCTAATCTCCATGGGGCACAGGGAGCTGTCCCAGCTCTGGGGGCAGCTTCCTCCTAGTTACACAGAGATCAGGACCAATCCCAACCTCTATGTAACTGGGAGGCAGCTGCTCCCAGAGTTGGGACAGCTCTCCCCACCCCACACAGATTGGGGCCAGCCCAATCATCCCACAGGAGCCGCCCTGCTGCCTGAACAGCATCCCCTCTCCCCTGAACAGATTGGGGCTTAGCCAGGCCAACCCTGCTGCCTGGGCTGACCAGGAGCAAGTTGCTCCCAGTCGGGGTCTACACATGCACTTTGGCATATTAGCTAATGTGCCATTTTTCTAGTATCTTTATGTATTGGTACTAGCAAACAGCGCATTAGAGTAATTTAATGCACAGTAATTGACAAGCATGTGTGTAGGTGGTGACACTTTCAAAGCATATCAATCTAATGCTCAGTAAAGCTGCCTAAAAAAAAAAAAAAAAAAAACAAACAACTTAAAATGTCCTTTACCAGGTAAAATAATCCAAAATGATTTCCTTGCCTCTTAAAAGCTCTTTCTAGAGTTTGCAATTCTGCCCCAGCCCTTTTAAGTCATTATGAAGAGGAAAAGTTAGTTTACCTCTAATAAAGAAAACACAGTAAAATACCACACAATGTTAGTTCCTAAATCTTGAAAATATTAGTGATAAAAACGGTCTTGAAAAATAAAATCAAGAGCTGATATTCAGACATGGACAATGAATCCTGTGTTCCACAACTGCAGTATGTTTAGTTTTGTTGTTCAGGTTTGGCTTTGAGGCTGCTTACTATAAAGCACGTGAAAAGGTGAATTACTACAGTTCCGTTGTGCTATACCTCTTAATACTAGCTCCACTTGATGTTAAATCTGTGCCACATGGCCAAACACTCCCCATTGCTCTAACAAGAGGTGATGAACTACCCCAAGCTTTTACTTGATATGGAGCTGATACTGTAACTGATTTTTCTGGAGTTAAATGTAAACATGTGAACCACCTATGAAAGGCTAAGTAGAATATTTATAAAAATGCCTTAGATCCAATTCACAAACACTTATTTTGGTTCTTGTGTGTGTTAAAAAGCAGTTTTTAAAACAGTCATGGCAAGGAATTTTTTTTTTTTAAACAGACATTTGAAACCAATTTGAGATTTATAAGGTTTTCTTTTGACCACTGTTATGAAGTGCTCTGAGGGGCCAGCCACTGGACACTAAACAGAACATGCTTAGTTTGTGTGATTTAGAGGAAAGAAAGGACAGAGCTTCAAACTAAGTTTTATTCCATACCATTGTTTAGCATTCAAAGCTGTATTTACATCCCCCTACAGCACTTTCCTGCTGATGATAAATATCACGTACACTGTTGTTGAGCAGTTACAGACAGAGGTTCAATTGTTAGAGGAGTCAGCGAATGGAATTCCTCAATTACTGCTTTAAGTACTTGTCTGATGGAAATATAGCAAGACAAGGGAGGGGCAATAAAAAAGCCTATTGGCTTTAAGATTGATTTTCTGTGTTAAATGTACACCAAGGACAGAGAGGCCACCACACGAGTCATAGCTGAAGGGTGGTACAGTTGGTTAGGGCACTCAACAAGACCCAGATTCAATTCCACATTTTTCCAGAGACTTCCCGTGCAACCAGCATAGCTTCTCTGTATCTTCTGTCTCAAGGGTGGGCATAGCTACACGAGATACTAACTACACAGTAGCCAAAAAATACTGAGCAGTAGCATGTCACAGCCTGGAAAGTGCTAATAAGCTACTGCACAGTATTATTAGGCTACTGGCTATACAGCGGCATCACCTAAGACACATTCGCTGGTGCTACTGCACAGTAACTCCAGTACTAAATAAGTGTGCAGTAATGACTGCACAGTAGCATCTCATGTAGACACACCCAGTGTGAGGAAGTTAAAGAAAGAGCATAAGGATATTCAGCTACTATGTGGACACAGTGATTTTTCAGAGGCAGAAAAGGTAGTTAAGGCTTCTGGCTCTGGAAAGTCCTATCCAGCAGAAGACAAAAGACAGAAACACTGGGGGAACATGCACACGTTCTACTGGGACTGTGAGAACTCTGTGAAAAGCTAAAAAAAAGCTTCCAATTAATAGCAGTTTCTGAAGTCTTATAAATAGCAGTCAGCCACAAAGCCAAAAGTAACAATCTCCAAGAAAAAAAGACTAAATACTGTGTCATAATAAATACAAACAAATACTCACCTCGATAATCAAATGTGACTACATGGTAACCAAGGAAACTTAACACCTACAGAAGAGAAAAATGGAATTTAAAACACCTCTACAAATGGTCTCAGAGTAGTAGTACTGCTTAGATCTAAGAAGTGAGGAGCTTCATTCCACAGCATACTTTTTAAATTTCTGGTATCAACTCAATGTTGCAATGAGATGCATAGATCCAAAAGCTGGTTCAAGCAAGAGGCTTTCATACACCCAGTTTTATGCAATTGCTATTTTTCCTGGTTCTCTCTGAGCCCTTGCAGCCGAGAGGTAGGACACTCCAGGGGCTGGGAAGCTGGGCTGAAACTCGGTAACTACAGTTCATTTGGTCATGGCCTGCCAGTATGACTTTGGGCACACAATTCCCTATCTCTAAAATGGGGAGATCACTGGCCTGTCTCACAGGGGTTTTGAGGGTAGACATTAGGGGTGTGCAAAGCTTCAGTTGCTGATTCAATTCAGAGAAGATTCAGCCTAATTCAGCGACCAAATCATTGAATCCAAGTTGAATCAGGAGACCCATTAAAAGCTCCGAATCAATTTGAAGCATCTGAACCGATTTGGAAAAGATTCAGCAATTCAGAAGGCGGTCTTGTGTGGAAACGGAAAAAGGGAGGAGGGGGAAGACTGCCCTGTTACTGACATCTGTAGCTGGCCAGTGACAGTGATCTTTCTCTGAGTTCCCTTCCAATCACAGTGCTCTGGGGGAAGGATGTAGAACAGCATATAAGGCTCTGTGTGAAGCCTCTCTCTGCCTTTTGTGAGCCGTCTGTCTGGAAGCAACAGTGCGTCAAAAGGTACTGGTTGCAGTGGTTGGCTTCCTAGTCAGTCTCTTGCAAGTCTCTCTTCTTGGAAAGGATTGGATACACCTTACTAATTACCCTTGCCTAGAATCCCTCTGCTTATCCCTATCCAACCCATTCCTTTCAGCTTATTCTTCTCCCAAAATACTTTTATTTATCCTTGTTTGGTTTTTTTCTCCCACACTTCTTAAAAAGCTGTGTTTTCCCTGGCGGCGTGTCATCCATCACTGTGCAGGAAAGCACATATATTACAGACACACACATGCATATATTAAACACATACAAGATACATTACACACACACACACACACACACACACACACACATTTTCCAGCACAGCAAACATTATGAAGCATGCTGGAAAGGCAGGTGCCAGGTATTCTGGCAGGAGACGGAGAGAGGCTATAGGGGGTAGAAGGAGAGCTACAAGTCCCCTGGCACGCCCCCCGCAAACATGGACACACCCTCTTTCCTGGCAGTGATGAGTCTTCTGCTGCCAGTAGGAGCAAGGAGGTGGAAGCAGTACCTGTCCTTGCACCTGCATCACCTCCACTAACACCAGAAATAGCCAACAACACGACAGTCTCCTCCTCCCCAATTTCAGCTCCCAGCATGAGCCTCCCAGTGCCAGGGAAGAAGCTGGATCTGGAAGCAGGGGGCGCTGAGTGTCATAGCCAGGGAAATTCTGGGGAAGGAGGGGGAAATCTGAGTTTGTGCTCCGCACCAGTCAAAGTTCCCCTAGAGGCAGGTCTCCTTCTCCAGAAGGCATCTCAGAGATTCTGGGAGCAGGTGACTCAGCTTCCCATGATATAGTGCCTCTGCCTGCTGAGGAGAGGGATAAGTGGGGGGGGGGGGGGGGGG